AAAATAATTTGGGATGCATTGCCTGTGCTAAGATTACATACTAAGTTGGGATTTGATTAAATTAACATAATATGCTACACTATAAACCATTTTTGCATGCCATGTTGACTGAATTCACACAACAAATTAAGGTAAAAGCAGTAAGAACCAGCCAATTTTGGTTTTTATCTCTCTTCTAATTAGTTGAAGAGATCCTGACAGTGGTGGGATTCAATTTTTTTTACTACTGGTTCTGTGGGCATGGCTTGGTGGGTGTGGTGTGGCTTGGTGGGCATGGCGTGGCTTGGTGGGCATGGCTGGGGAAGGATACTGTAAAATCTCCATTCCCTCCCCACCCCACTACCTGCTTTCCAGCTCCGTTCTCCTGTGCAGGGCAACAAAAGAAGACCCAACCGATCAGCTGGGACTCAGGAGGCAGAGGATAGATGGGGGCGGGGCCAGTCAGAGGTGGTATTTGCTGGTTCTCTGAACTACTCAAACTTTCCGCAACTGGTTCTCCAGAACTGATCAGAACCTGCTGAAAACCACCTCTGGATCCTGATCATGGTCCCAAAGGTGGTTCTGGCTCGTAGTATAGAACCAAGGTTAGTGAATGTTCAGTAATGGTGCCACAATTTTGGAATTCTTTCCAAAGAAAAGTGCTATTACTTTCCACACTAATTTTAAATAACAACTAAACACATACAGTACTTGTTTACTTGGGTGACTTAAATTTTCTTTTATTATTGTATGGTTGGAGTTGCATAATTTTTCTTCTATTCTTTTCTTTTAAAACATTTAATTTATGGCAAAGAACCTTTGTGCTGATTTCTAGGCTGCATTAAAAGGAAAACTGATTTGCCAATGAAATTAGTAATAAATAATACAATCAAGCAAATCACAGTAGCATGTTATGTGATCCCTATTACTGAAATAGCATATGACCATATAAGTAAACACCCCCAAATCTTCTCTGATCATGACTAATAAAAATGAGAATACTTGAAATCACAAATAAATTTCCCCCCCTCCCTCCAATGCTACTGGTAATGTATAATTAAAGAGAAATTTTTTTGTCACTGGGTTGTATAATCCAGGCAAATACCAGGATTGATTTTATTGGTAGTCAGTATCAATAAACCTGACCTGAGAACAGATAGCTACTTCACCATATAGAAAAAAATGCATGAAAGCCCCATTTGCAAATCATCCTAGATTTACTGCCAAGAATCTATAGTCACAAAATCTATACTATGTGCACAATAATTAAAAAAACAAGAAACCCCTTGGTATAATAAGAAATATTAGTACTTGGTAAAGATAGTTACTAATAACCCCTCAGTAACATTATAAAAATAGAGCAGTTGCCCAGTCCTCAAAAAATAAACGTATCCTTCTAGCCCGTCTGCTAGAAGTAAAATAATTTTTAGAACTGGAATTAGACTGATTTTGAATAGCATTATTCAGTCAAAACTTATTATCAAATCCTTAAATAGCCTATGCGTTTTTGTTTTCATTTAATATAGTTTCAGATGTTTCATTTAGCACTATTAGAAATAGCCATACTCTTTGAAACTGTTGGAATAATTGAAAGGTTAGACTTTCCAGACTTAAGAAACAAAGGCATGGATTTAGTCAATCTACATTTCATACAATTCAACTACTAGTACATCCCCACTAATCATGAAGACTCTTCAGCCTGTAACTGATACTGAAGATACGATAGTATATTGGAACCATATAAGCTCTGGAAATGGAAACTTGGATTCATGTCTGACTTTAGCCACAGATTTATTTGTTTTTGTAAAATTAGACAAGATACAGTATGTTGCAATGTTTCTCTTTACCTCATCCTAGCAGTTTCTGATTTTTAAGAATTTCTCACTGGATTACTGAAACGGCTCTAGGGTACTGGCATGTAACCTCTCGTGTTACATATACTCAGCGTTAATGCCCCGAGTCAAAAAAACAAGCAGAGAAGTAGCTATGTTGGTTTATTGTATTTACATGGTTTCCACTTCCTCACTCATTGATTACCTGCTTAATTCACTGTTCAAGTTTCACATACCTCACTGAATCAAACTCATCATCGGGGCTGGGTTGACAAAACATGCTAAAACATACTTATCTAGTTTATCATTGCAGACATGGACACTGTACTGCTATCCTACTACAGGGACCTTAGGAAGAAGTGCATTTTGAAAAATAGTTTTGGAGAAACAGTGGAGGATGGTGAAACATCTCCCTCCACTGGACCAGGTCACCAGGCTTTAAAGAAAAATATATCCTATGTATTAGATAGATTTTGATCTATAGTTTTCATTCCCAATATTATCAGTGGGAATATAAGTATATTCTATAGGAGAATCCCTACAAAATACTATGTATTGAGTATGTCAGTGAGGTAAGCACACTTCTATAGGGTACAAACAATAGGAGCGTTCAAGAATACTAGTCAATTAAATTACCAAACTGGTTTGTATCACCCAAAGTTCATTGAATGACAGTATAGTTCCCATTACTTAACTTATTTTCACTTTCGTTTATACCATACCTTCATTTGCCAAGGTTTAGTGTTATTGCTGTAGACTGTGCAGCTGTAGGAAGCTAAATATGAACTTGTCTCATTTTAAAATATCTGAGGGAGAAAAAACCATCTTGGCATAGTGTGTCAGGTTTCTGCCCACCTTAGAAGCACATTTAATTTTCTATACTATCTCCATCAAATCTTACTGGGGTCAGATATTCTTAGGAAAGGGTGGCCCTTTCTTTCCTTTCTCCCTTTTTAGTAATTCACTTTGCTGTCAAGAACCACACAACACTTTTAGATTCAATTCCAAAAATATGTTCATGGGGAATTCATGGGGATGAGTAGTGTTTCAGTGTGCAACTTTTAAAGCATCCGCTCTTTTCCTGGAATCCATGTCAAAATTCAAGTCAACCCTACATAACACAAATTTTAAGGAATAACATTGGAGTGGAATCTTAAATGAACCTACCTCTCTATAAAACAAGGGGCTTTTAGAACTACCTGCTTTATCTCCTATAAAAGTAATGAGAGTCAGTATTTGAATATCATTTTTTTGGGAAATGCTGGAGCAATAGTGTTCTTTTAAAATTTTATCTACCTTTAGGTCAGGAGTCTTCAAATTTGACAGCTTTAAGACATGTGGACTTCAATTTCCAGAATTCCTCCTCCAGTCATGTTAGCTCAGGAATTCTGGGAGTTGAAGTCCACAAATCTTAAACTTGCCAAATTTGAAGGCCCTTGCTTTAGGTCCTCTGAAAATCCTCTTTGCTTTGTTTCTAAAACCCTAAACCATAATTGGCATTACTAGAAGAAAGGATATGCCTTATCTGATAGCCATGCAGATATATCCTGTAACAATACCCTGTTTCACAACTTCAGAGCTCTACAATAAAAAAACACTAGAGTTACACAATAAAACAAGGAAATCTGCTCACAGTGTAGAAAGGTTTCACGGTGATACTATCATGAACTTTCTCTTCCCAGATATGATAAAAAGTGAAGTAAATAAATACATATAAAGATACCAAATCTTACTAGTTCTGAAAATAAATCCAGGTTAATTATAGTTTTAAAAAACTTTTAAATAGTCTTTTATACTGTAGGTTACAATACGTTATAAAAACCTTATTTTCTTATTTTTTTAATCTAAATAGTATTATTTTTATCTAAATGGAATAGTGTGTCAAAAGTTATCTATAGCAATCAATGAAGAAACCTACAGATATATTTTAGAAATATTATTTACATGGGGAGTATCTCAAGATAAAATTATTCTCTTCCTGAATATGCCTGTGTGTATTGTTAATGTAGCTAATTGCAACTGTCTTTACCAACTTGCCAAAACTATGAGTAACATTTTTTTTCTGGCACAGTCAACAAGGAAAAACAAAGTTTCTCTCACAAATCAACATCAGGTCATGGTGCTCCAAGATTGAGTTTTGAATGTCTGTCATTCTATCAGTTAAACAACTGCATTTTACAAAGACAAATATGTTATTAATTTCAAAAGATAGCCACCATGTTCATAGTATTAACTTGTACTATCCAAACATAGATCTAAGCTGATTGTGAATTTATTAAACATCCTAGAAATGTACAACTTTTAAAGAAATGCAACTCTACCTCTTCAAAATTACATGAAGGATAAGTTTAAACACTATTTATTTACATACATACACAAAAAAAAAAAAAAAAAAAAACCACACACACATATATATATGGACATAAATTCCATTTAACTCAAACCTTACTTCTGAACACATATGTGTAAGACTGCACACCTAGAAAACACGCACCTCCCTGGGAATATTTATTTCAAAGCAAACATATACAGGACCCAGGCTGCTAAATCACGGGATACTGCTAACCTGCAGCTGCAAATGATCCATGACTAACCTCCTTTTTATTTTATTTTATTGTTTCCCCCCCCCCCCCCTGCATATGACATTGCGGATTAAAATTTACCCAAGATCTTCTGCAAGTTTTCCGCATCTTAACTCATCGGAAAAGAATGCGCTCGATACGTTATCTATTAATCTGGGCGCCTGGCTTTTTAAAGGAATACGCTGCTTTAAAACCAGCCGATTGCTGCGGACACACTAGATCCTGGAAGCCCAATCTCTACCAACTTCTAGAATCTCAAGAAGTCCCCCAGCGATGCTGTTTGGAACACTCGAAACTCCTTTCGCTTTTTGCAAAGGTTGCGCAATCTCTCTCGCCACCAAAACGGAGCCAAGTGTCAATGGGCACTGCAGGCGGGTGTTATGTCCGTGTGTGTCAGAAAAAGCCCAGCACCAACGAGGCTGCCCGCTCAGAAGTGACGCTTCTGATGCCCCGAAACTTTTGCCGCCCAGGGTTCCCCAATATATCGCCGTGGCGCGCCGTGACACCGCGCTCGAAAAAGGAAAGTTTTTCCCACCTCCACCCCCCCCCACCCCCCTCAGCCCAGGACGGCCAATTAAACCACGGCCTCTCCTTTTCGGGCAGGTACCTCTTCCTCTTGCAAGTTCGGCTCGGCCGGGCTGAGCTCTTGCTCGCTTTTGCCGCTGTTCATTGTCTCCTCCGCCGGCCCGAAATGCCCTCTTCGCCTCGCCTCGCCTCTCCGCGGCGCGTTTAGGCTGAGAGGGTCACAAACGGGGAGGCGCGGCGAGCGAGGCGAGGCGAGGGAGGGGGAAAAGCAGCGGGGCTCGAGCCCAGGCTACCACCACCAGCTGCCCTCAGCAGCATGCAGAGGGTTCTGGCGGAATGGCGGCACGGGAGCCCGAGCTTGAGGCGGAGAGCGGCTGGCGGTCGCCGCTGCTGGTTCCCTCTGGAAGAAGGTGGGGAAGAGTCCCAAGCTTTGCCTTTTGCGCGCCTTTGCTCTTAGTTGGCGGAGTGGGTGTCTCCCTCGCCTGGCGCTGACTTCTTGGGACGACGCGGGGCGCGGACGAGCGTGGAAAATAAGATTCACCCCCCTCTGAAAGCCCCCCGCGGCCGGAGCACGTGAAGCGACCTCGAGGCTGGAGATTTGGCAAAGCAAAGAGGGAGGAGGAAGAGGAGGAGGCGCTTCGAAGGGTGATAACTCTGGAAGCCTCCTGCCTTTGTTGAAGGCTGAGGAGACTATCAGCTGTCCTGGCTTCTCCTGCCTGCTTCTCTGAGGGCCCCTTTCAGGCTTCAGGCTTTTGGAAGTAGGGGGACAAATTTTGGTTGGATGCCATGATGGCATGCAGGTAGTCCTTGACTTACGACCACACCCGAGCCCAAAATTTCTGTTGCCTTGGTTAAGTGAGTTTGGCCCCCATTTTACACTCTTTTTTTCTTGCCACAGTGGGTTAAGGGAATTGCTGCCAATTGTTAGGAAACCCCATTGTGAAATGAATCTGACTTCCCCATCGACTTTGTTGGTCAGAAGGTCACCAAAGGATCACCATAGTGCATCCATTATAAATGTGAGTCAGCTGCCAAGCATCCGAATTTTGATCACGTGACCATGGCACTGGTCTTAAGTGTGAAAAACGGCTATAGATCGCCTTTTTTTTAAACTGCTGTTGTTGCTTCAAATGGTCACTGGAGGGTTGTAAATTGAGGGCTACCTGTACTCCCACAAAATGGCTGCCTTGGGAGCATGGTCAGTCACAAAACTCCTGCTTCTTGAGAGTCGAGCATGTGATGTTGTTCCCGCTACCCACTCAAGGTTGTTTCCTTCCTGCACTGCTTGCTGTCACCTGGATTACCTCCGTCAACGCTCTTGCAGGTGGACACATTTCTAAACAAAACTGCAGCTGCCCACCCTTTTTAATTTCCAAGAAGGCCTCTGGTGTTTACTTTAACATGCATTTTGATCCATAGTAAAATATTGTGAAGCTGAAGTGCCTGCATTTAAAATAGGCATTCCAATTTACATTTTGAATGTGCATTTCCCTTCTCTCTCCCTCCCTGCCTCCGCTCTCTCTCATAAGGTGGCTGAAGATATTAAGATGCAGCTTTCTTTCACACACACTGAATTTACAAACTGCAAGGATTTCAAAGGAGCCACATGTTCTTTCCGATCAATGAATGAAAGAGTTCCAGAGAAAACTGAAGTAAAATCATAACACAGTTTCCCTTAGTAATTGCTTCACTTTACAATTGAGTTGTTAGTCCCAATTATGGTCACTATACAAGGACCACCTATAGGTTTTTTTAAAAAATAATTTACCAATTCACACGTCTTTCAATCAGTAGTACTTAGGATTGTTCTTCAAGTGACATGGATGACTTTTATACTTTTTCTTAGTGATAAATTAGAACTAATTCTAAAGCTATCATTAATAAAAGAGAAGCTAATTATTTTCAAAATATGTGTCAGAATATGCTAACTTGGTTTAAGTAGTAAATTTAGACCTGAACCTATAATATCCCACCACAAGGGAGATTATCCACTGCAGCTCTATACAATTCATGACTCTGCCTTCTAATCAGTTTCTGGGCAATATCACATCAAACATGATGAATAATTCAAAACATTGGCAATGTAGGATTGTAGAACAATTATTCATCCTCAGACATGATCTCCTTTTTGGCTGTTCCTGAGCATAATTTGTTTGGGCATGCCTTTATCCAATCAGTGGATATATTTGGATCAGGAACTTACAGAGAAACATAGGAGGGAGATGCCCTTGAGAAAGAATAAATCATAATCTATACATATTCAAATATATATTCCTCTCCCTGAAGTAAAGTATGACTCCAATTCAGAAAAAAAAAATGAATAAGATGTGATGTTTAGATGTGATGATGTAATCATGTTGGTTAGGTTAAGTTCATGACCTTCCCTGTTATTTTTGATTATATTTTCTAAACATTCCAATAAATAAATTGATTCACTTTGCTTAAGTCTTTTGCTCTAGTAGACTTCACACTGAGGTTCATCACACTCAGGTTCATTTCCACCACTAAAAATAAATCTAGATTATTAGAACGGCTCGGTAATTATTCTTTATTTCTCTGGGACTCTTTCATTCATTGATCGGAAAGAACATGCGGCTCCTTGGAAATCCTTGCAGTTTGTAAATTCAGTGTGTGTGAAAGAAAGCTGCATCTTAATATCTTCAGCTACCTTATGAGAGAGAGTGGAGGCAGGGAGGGAGAGAGAAGGGAAATGCACATTCAAAATGTAAATTGGAATACCTATTTTAAATGCAGGCACTTCAGCTTCACAATATTTTACTATGGATCAAAAGAGTGTTTAAAATAGGCTCTTTTAAAAGTTAAAAGAGATCTAGGAGGTGTGACATTGGACTCCACAACTGGAAGTTCCACTGTTCTTTACTAAAAGCCACTATGAAGGAAGTGGAAATTTCAAAACAATTTTCTATATAGAGGAAGATTTTAGCCCTTTCCCCCTCCAAGCCCCCCTCTTCCTTTAAAACAGTTATTTGTCCCACATGATGAAATATATGCATACATATATGGGTTTTTCCCCCCCAGTCATGGTTATTATGAAAATGATGTAGACAGGTGGAAGAATTTAAACCAGCTCCAGATTAGAACTCACCATAGCGGTTTTGCTATTTTCTGCCTAGATATACATCTTCCCTGTATAAACATGTACAGAAAAATACTGGCTAAGTTTTAGTCCATATTCCTCATTCAGGTGTGATGTATCAGAAGCCAGATAAGCCTGTCTGTTGTCCTCATGTGAGAGGCATTTACTTTGTGTTACACTCAAGAATTCTAGAAATTAGGGAAGGAAATCAATGAAAGTTCCCTCAAAATTCCTTGGCCATGATACAAAAGTGACATTTCAAACAAGATATCACATGCTTAGTATCATCTCAAGATTGCTAAAAGTACTGGAGATCTTCAAATAAATCAGATCCATATACAGTACAAATGAATGGCAAATCACTGCACATGTCAAACAGTACTGCAAGGGAAAAGAATGGGACATACTAACCAGCATTGAATGGTAATCCAGGATCCAATGCTTTAATGACCCCCCCCCCCCCCAGAACAATAGCAGGATCAGAAAAGAGTCAAGGGGGAACATTAATAAGTGTGGAAAGGGAACTTCACGAAGACAGTAGTGTCACAAAAACAGGAAAAGCCATAAAACAAACTTACATAGGAAAAGGAATCAAATAAAAAAGGTATTAAAGAATCCCTATAGACAAAAGCCTAAGTAATTAAGAAAACTAGACAAATAAGAAAAGGAAACAAAAAGATAATTTAGAAAACCCTTACAAACACAGGACATACCAAATAAGCAAAATAAACAGACAAAAGACACAAAATATAAATTACAAAAGGGACAGACAGGAGATTGCCACAGAACAAATATGAAAAACTATCTTAAAGCTAAAAGAGATTAGAGAAAACCAATAATACAGTCTAGCCACCCCGTGGAGTTTGCCTTCCGCACCCCGCAGAGTTTGCCCTCCGGCGGGAATAAAGACAAACTCAAACAGGATTTGAAACATTAAACACAAATACAAACATTCACACAAAATCAACTTACAAAGGGAGAAAAGGGTATAAAAAACCAGGGACTTACCATAAGAAGCTAGCTAGCCCAGGAATGCAGACTTCTTGCTGTCCCCCGCCTTCCTGAAAAATAAAAAGATCCAGCTTTCAAGCAGTTGTCCGTATCCTTGTGCCGGAGCTCTCCCAGCGGGAAAATCGAATCCTTGAAAGAAAGGCATTTTGACACCTTTCAACAATTGGTGACCATGAAGGTTTCCCAGCCAACCCTGCCACCGGACCGGGCCTGCGGATCCAAACCCAGCCTGCATGGACCTTCTTTGTCCAGGGACAACATCCACAGACCCAGCCCGGAAGGTATAGGGTAGTAAAGGGTGTCCTTGGGCTTTTCTGCTCAACAACTGCTTGAAAGCAGGTGAGTACCGCTTCAAATTTATAATCTTACTATTGAGGGGAGTGGAAGCGTGAGTGGACCAGGTGTGTGATTGTGGGTTTTCTCTGCGGAAACAGCGGGACCTCACCTCCTCCGTGATTGCCAGCCACACCCCAGCCAGCTGCTAGCTCAAACACGAGCCATGACCGGCTGGATTTGGGAACGCAAGGGGTGATCACAGAGTGTGAGTCCTTCTGAAGGACGTAAGAAAAACTGAGTGGGCTGCAAAAGGAACTGGTGTTAGGAAATAAATAAAAAGCAGAGGAAAAATAGTCCCGGTGCATCCCGCAAGCAAAGCCCTGTGCATTTAGAAGGGGCCCGTACCAGCTGCTTGCAAACAAAATTGGAAATAGTTTGTCTTAAAAAAAGCAGAAAAGGTCCTTCCAGATCCCCACCTTTAAGGGAGATCTGAAAACTGACGGCTGAGTGTAGGGAGGGGCCTGTACCGGAGCTGCTAGGGGCAGACGGTCCTCCAAGATCCCTGTTTTTTAGGGGGGGGTGTCTTAAAACTGATGGCTGAGTTTCCCTAAAAGAAAGGGGCCCGTAGTCCGTGTGTAGGGAAACCGGAGTCCTTTCCAGACCTTTTTTGTCTGAAAACTGACGGCTGTAGCCTGGCTAAACCAAAGCAATCCCCACATCAGGCAGGGAATATGGGAAGTTGTAGTTCGAGGGCAATGGAAGAGACCCCCTTGGATAAATTACTTGAGGCTTGGGACGAAAGGCAAGTGCCTGTCCTGACTGGAACGCATAAAAAAGAAGCAAAAAGAATTTGCAAAAAGTGGGCTTTATTGCAAGATGACACGGGTAGACAAATTTGGCCTGATAGCGGTACTTTAGATCAGGGGTCCCCAACCACCGGGCCGTGGACCGGTACCGGTCCGTGGATCACTTTGTACCGGGCCGCAAAGAAAATAAAAAATAAAAAAATGGCGGCTTTTTTCGCCTTCGGTGAATGCTGCTGGGATCAGGGATCAAGGACACAAATGAAAGAAGGGGAGGGAGGAAGCAACCAAAGCCTGTCCTACTCTCCGGCTCAGTGGCTTCGGTTTCCTCCCGCCTCGTTCCTCTCTCAGTCGCTCTCTCGCTCCTCCACCAGCCCAGGAAGAAACTGCTTCAAAGAAGACGGCAGG